GGGGGGGGGGGGGAATGATGTTGACCTAGGGATAGAGCACTCCAGAAAAGAATAAACTCCATGTAGACTAATACACCAGCAATCTGATTAAATTAAAAAAAAACATGAAAATCTATGCAAGTTTGAGCAATTATTTTCTTCAGCATAGTTCATAAGTTAGAGGGGTTTCTAATGAATCTGGCACTACACCAGAAAAAAACAGCAGAGGAAACTTATCTGTGAAGTTATTCTTTAAAGAAAAAAGAAAAGTCAGAGGATTTAAATATTTCTAAAGCGACAGATTATAAATTCAGTGGTTGGTTTAATAAATTTTTAGCTAATATTATTTTCCTCATTACCACATAACATTAGAAGGCATAATATTATTTAGTTCTTCCTCCATTACTGGCCCCAACCCTGCATGTGAAGCTGATTATTGATAGGCTGGTTTCAAACTGCAGTCTTGGCAGTTAAGTTGAAAAGTATTTCAGGTTTCTATAGAGCCCATCACCATAGCATCTGAGCACCGAATGTACAAGTACAATAATAATTTTATCTTCCAACTCCTTACAATCAATCTTATTTGATATAAACTGTTGTGACAATACTCAATACTTCAGAACACGCATTCTAGATACAGTGAGGAAGGCTATCAGAAAGTGAAATTATCTAAAGTAGTAACTGTTGAGTCTAGAAATTTCTGTAGCAAAAGAAATATAATGACGACTTACAGAAAGGAATTTCAAAGAACCCACCAGACCCTGCAAAAGTCTCAAAGAACATTTAAGTTTCTCATGTTTGTCACTGTACCCTACAATTTCAATGATCATTAAGAGTTCGCTCACCAACAATAAATAGAACAGAGGTTACCTGCCTTTAGGAGTGAGGCATTTATGTGAAAAATTCTAAACAACCTGGAATCCAAACTAGCTATGGTCTAGAACAGTGGTTTTCAACCTTTTTTCATTTGCGGACCCCTAAAAGACATTGAATGGAGGTGTAGAGCCCTGTGAATTGTAGGCGTGGTTATTTACATATTTTTGATTGATCGTAGTCATCTTTCACAGACCCCGTGTACAGTCTGCAGACCCCCAGGGGTCCACAGACCACAGGTTGAAAACCAATCGTTTAAAAAACTACATACATTTCTGTTTCAGTTTCATCTTTTCAACTGTTCATTTGTTTAAGGATTATAAATGATAAAATAAACCAACCACCACTGAAAAACAGGAGGGTAATTTTTGTTTAATAGTATGCTCTTCAAATGAGATTTTCAAAATATTTAGATCAGTGATTTCCAAAAGGTGTTCTACAAAAACGGGCTGGATTTGGTTCCTGCCATGCCAGTCTCACACAGAAGGATTGGGCCTACAGACTAGATGTGGATCATGGACCAGTGAATTAAGTGTGCTACCAATTTTAAACCAGAAAGAAGTATGCTCCAAGAGCGTTTACATGTGCCATTAATGCAAAGCAATAAGCTCCAGAGCTCACTGCTCCACAGCTTATTGTCTAAATGCAGTGCCAGGGAAGCATGTGCCCAGAAGCACAGCACTGTTGAGCTGGGTTGGAGCAGCCCCACCCAGCAGATGGCCCAGGGGTCAGCCTGCAAGCCTGGGGCTGCTCTTGCCTGGCTCAACATACTGCAGAGGGGCTGGCTGGGATATAAGGGTGCTTCAGTGTGGAGCTAGTCAGCAAGCAGCCCCTGCACTGAAGCACCATCATGCCCCATCCAGCCCCTCCAGCGTCTACATGTGTGGTGCTGCATAGTAAAAAAAACTCTGTAGCAGGACAGTACTTATATTTACAAGTACTATCCTGCTGCGAAGCTTATTAGTTTACTCCAGCCTATTTGGCCTGCACATGTAGACGCTAAGACATTTACTGTGGAGCTAACTAATCTACTTGGCACTAAACATGTAGTGTAGATACGCCTTCCAGGTATCAAAGGCTAAGGAAACACTGGTTTAGGTTAACCTTCTGTACCTGCCCCTGCTACATACTACTTTCTCAATTTAAAACGTAACTCTGGCTTTTATCAAAATGCAAATATGAGTTAAAGTGAATTTAGGGAAGTCTTAACTAATATACGATGACTCTTATTTCCAGGGTCTTTTTCCATGCACTTTAAAGAAATAGGATTTTTCCTTATGTTACTTTGTGTGTCCAAATTCACTTACACAACTGCGTATTGATAAATATTGGTCCTTGTACAAAGTATGCAATCCTACTGAACATGAAGTGTAGACAATCCAAGCATCTGATAGATAGCTACCCAGCAGGTACACAGTTCCTTACTCTTGTACTCATCAACCATAATTCTCAAACTCTAATCAGTCAAGAATCTCCAATTAATACATTAGACACCACAGGAAAGAGGTCTCCCATGCTCTAAGCTTAGAAAGGCTTGGTATACTTGATTGTTGAAATAGAAATGGTAATAAAA